CATTAGGAAGGCAAGAAACTCCACAAATGAACCCTGACAAGCCACAGCTGTGAAGTGAAAACCATTTCAGGGGACTGCGTCATGAAGCTCATTGAGAGAAGACCAAGGTTTTGCAGCCATAGACCCGATATGTGTCATCCTTATGTTAAGACCAGATGAGGCTTCGGCAAACAGTGTATGGTTCATCCAGGTCAGCTGCATCTCAGGTCCTGTGTTATTGGATTTTTTCCTATTTCTGGAGGACATGACTTTCAGTTATTCTTCATCTTTAGGCCTGCCATTTCTTCTTTTATCATTGACTTGTTCAGATTCCTCAATCTCTTAAGGACACATTGCACACAGCTGAGATACGCTTTTGGCCAGCAGCCCTTTGAGAATCACCTTGTTGGTGATTGTTTATGCCTTCTCTCTTTTCTCTGTGTTATTGTCGGGTCTTTGCCTTACAGTTTAAAGCATTTTGAGGCAACTGTTCACAATTGAATTGTCAGATTGTGTTATCTTTGTAACAGACCACTTTAAAATAAAAAAGAAAAGGAAATGAGAGCTTCCTCAAGCCTCGCATCGTACTGTAAATAAATGGTCATGTTCCATGTCATTAAATCGATCTCTATCATTTGCTCTCATTTCCCCTTTCCAGCTGTTTTAGGATTTGCCATTAAGCTGTCAGGTATAATGATGATTTGGGAAGTCTATAAACATATCACAGCTTCTTCCTGCCACTGAAAAGAAAGAATTAAGCAGACATTATTTGTTTGTTAGTAAGTTTTGATATAAATATTTTCTTCAGAGTGACAACAGTTGAAATGACTTCTAGTGCTCTTCTATTTTCTCTTCTCATAAACTCTTTCATAAGTTACTGAAGTAACCTAAAGTGTAAATGTTCCTCTAGCTGTATTGACCTCCCTCTTGTCTGTGTCAAACCTTTGAGCTTTGTCAGTGATTAAAAGCTTCACCACCTGTTCCTGCTTCGTGTCCCTCCAGCTGTGAGGAACCGTGTCCTCCAGGTAAACATGGCCCCCTGTGTGAGCATCACTGTCCCTGTCAGAACGGTGGAACGTGTCACCACGTCACTGGGGAGTGTTCCTGTCCTGCTGGCTGGATGGTGAGGACTACATCACACATGCAAAAGCAGATATGCATCATACAACTAATCTGCCGAAAAGAATATTTAAGGATTAGCAACAGTTAAGCGCCATGATACTGTGTTATAAAATATACCTTCTTAAAAAAAAAATTTATGCCACATTTTAAGTGACAAAAATGTATCAATCATCATTTTATCAACATGTGGCATTGGCTGCTGGGTCACACTCTTCATTTTGTAATAGTTTGGTCAAATGTTTTGTTTTTATCTGAATTAACTGCCAGGGAAATGTTACAATAGCAGAAAATTCTGGCTCTGTTTTACCATTTGAGCCTAAATTATTCTGAACATAGACCAATGCAGTACATAAATGTTCTGCAGTGGTCCAATCTTGAGCTGAAATACTGTGTCTGTGATAGTTTTCAATGTAAATTAGTTTCATTTATTTGCTGTATTGTAAGATTAACATTAGCTTCACTAATTCTGCAGCGAGCCTCTCTTCTTATAACATGAACTTAAAAACAGGATGTTTCCATCTATTTG